ACATTTCTTATTTACTATATAGGAATCAACTTTGAGTGTTGATCTATGCTAGTAAGATTTGTGGGGAAGAATGAAACAATTAATTTCGATGCACAATAATGAATGAAGAAAAAGTTTAGTATTGTTATATTTATAATATTGTTTGTTAAATTTGTATTTTACAATTGAAAATTGGGATAATGTTTGCATTTTCATTTAAAATATTGTGTTTTTGTTTTTATTGACTTTTTTTATAAATTATTTTATATCAATTTGATGCATGAACTTATAAAAAATAATTTATTTTCGTGGTTATTAACCGAACCGAACCGTGTCGAATCGAGATAATAACCAAACCGAACCGAACCGATTTACGTGGTTATGGTGCGGTTATGGTATGGTCAAAAAATTGGTGGTGCGGTTATGGTTTTGACCGAACCGACCCATAACCGAACCGTTGCCAACCCTAATTGGGACCCCATTCATCTTTACAAAGTTCAGTTATTTGCAAACTTCAATGACCCTTTAAGAACTTTTTGCAAAGTTCAGTGACCATTTAGGGACTTTTTGAAGTTCAATGAGCTTTTGGGGGACATCGAGCTAAGTTCAGTGACTATTTAGGGATGTTTTGAAGTTTGATGACCTCCTTGGGGACTTTGGCCAAAGTTCAATGACCATTTGGGGTTTTTTCTCCATCTTTTGTGGTCCAATAATTTTCTTCTTTTAAAATTTTACTTATTTAGGCATTTTGTGTTCTAAACTTTCGAGTTGGAATTTGTACCTTGCATAAACTTCACTTATATACTTGTTGAGTAATGGTATTTATAGTCGTTCACTGCGGTAGTCGCTCCACGTGGCATCCTATATGATGATTTGTGATTTGATTTATTAATTTGGTAGTTTTTTCTTATATAATATATCAAATAACTAATTATCACATGTATATCACGTAGGACGACTATGACAGTGAATAATTGCAAATAGCATTATTCATATTTGTTTCCTTATTGGTTGTGTTTCCTAATCCTTCTTAGGACATCTCCAAGATTTGAACATTTTGTTTGCAAATCAAGTGAGTTTGTGAGAACAAATACTCAATCTGCTTAATAGCATTATTTGTCAGTGTTTGCATCCAAGAAGTAAATTTTTTAGTTCCAAAAATTGCTAGCATTTGCATCCAAGGAATAAATTTCTTTAACAATTGAGAAACCAGTCCACGATTTGAGTGAAGTCTATGGCGTTTCCCCATTTTGAATTAAAGTGTTTCTCATGTCTTATAAATTACTTGTGCATGAAAGCGTTTCTCATGTCTTATAATTGCATAGTCAAGCACATGATGCCTCCTATATCTGTTGGTTCACTGATTACAATTATTTTTATCATACAATTAAGATTTTAATACTAAATGTTGTATATATGACTCATATAAAGTGAAATACAAATTTATTGGATCAAATTACGGGTTTTAATTTATTGTCTGTCTGTCAAAGATGTTGAATAGGTTGGGGGTTGTCCACTGGTCTGGAACATGAATATTATCTTGTGCGGGCCATAAAGACTTGTATGAGTTTGGGTTAGAGTTAGTATAAATATTGATGATATAATCCTATTATTCATATATACTGAATAAAAATCTCTGCTTTGCTCCTTGTGGACTTAGGTACATTATCAAACCACGTTAAATACTTATATTGATTTCTCTCTTTCACTTCTCTATTATTTGCGTATAAAATTCAACTCAAAACTTCTAAGAAGTTCACACATGTAGAGCCACCAATTGCTGACTACTAAGGTTATACAGGCTTAGTTTATCAGATCCAAATCAACACCTCCAACCAAACGACCAAAAACACCTCGAAGTCTTCACCGACGGTTGCTAGAAGTTTACTCACTTAGAGAACACCACAAACGAATGTCAAAGCACCAAGAAGGGAACCACAAAGGCACGGTGAAAAAATAGGCAGAAAACGGCAAAAGGAAAAACTCACAGAAATGCCCAAGAATACTATGGTCTTATGGAGGCCAAGATTAACCAAGAATATATAGGTACCAATTGCACAAAGAATGGTAAGTCCATTAGATTATACTAATGGGTCATGGGCCCAATAGATGTCAATTGGATTGTAGAGTGGGCCTTCAGCAATACTAGCCATCAACGTAGATAATTAATCGGTCCATGAGCAACTCAACTTAATTTGGTCACTTCAAATGGTCTAATTGACTTCTTGGGTCAGGTCATTTTAATTTGGGTGTTGATATATCGTTCAGTCATTCGGTCAAAGCCGACTGAAAAATTAAACCGGATTAACATCATCTTCAGGGAGATCGTTTGACAATAATTTGTCCAACAACACAATTGACATATTTAAGCTCTTCAAAAGCTGATAAATCGACATATTTTATGCCGCTTAACAAGCGAGTAAAATGATTTTAATAATAACTAATAACGGTCAAAACAAGCCCAAGTGCAATCATTTTCATTTTCTAGACAAAGTATAATTCTTTAAAAATCAAATATAAGAATAGAAGTATAAGATAATATTTTGCCACTCTTTGTACTCAACCAACCTATCTAGGTGACGGAGAGTATCATTTAATTTTTCACTGAAAATAACTTTGGCGTACTTAAGAGGTTTAAATATATGTGATCATTTATACGGGTTTTTTAAAATAATAATAACTAACAAAGTATTAAAAGAAAAAAGAAATAATAATTATTATTCTTTACAGTAATAATCTCTGACTCCAAAAAAAAAAAAAATAATAATAATAATAATAAATAAAAAACTTGGAAAAGACCAACTCTTAAAGGCTAACCCCAAAAGCAATAAATTGTTATATAAGTTCTTTTTTTTTTTTTTTTTTTATTTTTTATAAGTTTTTTTTTTTTTTTTTTTTTTTTGGCACAATGAAATTTTATTGACGAACCCATTAATTAAAAGTCATACCAATATATTCTTAAGTAAAACACTTTGGTCAAATCAACAAAGTGGTGACTACAACACGGCATTGGACAATTGGAAGTGGTGACTACAACACGGCATTGGACAATTGGAAGCAATCTTATCTTATGAATCTTTAATTTATTGTCCTTCAAACATATTCTTTTAACATTGTTGCTTTCATCTTTCAATTTTATTATACTGTTGAATTCTAACGGACGAAACTCCTTTGATATTCAAGTAAAATATAAAATGTCAAACTTTTGTTAAAGAAGTCAATTATAATCTTATCTCTAATCAAATTAAAAATTAAACAAATAGATAAAATAACAGAGAAGGAAAAAAGCAAGATCCATGCTGGGGGATTTGGGGGGCTTCGGTCTCTCTCTCTCTCTCTCTCTAGCAATAATAACGATAACAAATAAGTAAATAATTAAAAAAAATACTCTTAAATCTCTCTCTTTTTATAGCAATAATAATGATAACAAATAAGTAAATAATTAAAAAAATACTCTTAAACCCACCATCTCACACACACCCACACTCTCACTCCAACTTTAGAGAGACAACCAAGAAAAGAATTAAACATGGTTCTGAATTATTAGAGTTTGAGATTATTAATTTCAACACAACTTGCCATGAAAACATACACCAACATTAGGAAAATAATTCACCTAATACCATCGTTATATTTTTTGGCCAAGTTATGTTCATTTACAGGCTCCTACACCTGCCCCAATAGCAAATATTCGTAAAAGAAAGACGTGAGAATAAACGGTCATGCTATATGTATAACCATAGTTGACAATCACACAAATGAGAGAGGGGCCCATGATAGTAAAAGAAAGATATGAGAATAAACGGCCATACTCTATGTATAATCGGGGTTGATAACCACACATTTGGAGAGGGGCCCACAAATAAAAAAAATCGGGGACCCCTCTCTTGTGAGAATGTTGTCAGGTTGTACAATTAGCAAAATTTGAGAATAAACTCCACCGTAGGAAATGAAATGGAGAACTAATCTCAGTTGATTGGTTTCAGAGTTACAAGTCAAAGTCTTAAAATATTCAAAATGACAATTTGCCTATAAAACCCTATATTTGTCCCCCATGGATTCCATCATTGAATTGTTGAATTCTAATGGACGAAACTCCTTTGATATTCAAGTAAAATATAAAATGTCAAACTTTTGTTAAAGAAGTCAATTATAATCTTATATATAATCAAATTAAAAATGAAACAAATAGATAAAACAACAGAGAAGGAAAAAAGCAAGATCCATGGTGGGGGATTTGGGGGGCTTCGGCCTCTCTCTCTCTCTCTCTCTTTAAATTTTTTTTTTTTTTTTTTAGCAATAATAATGATAACGAATAAGTAAATAATTAAAAAAATACTCTTAAAACTACCATCTCACACACACCCACAATCTCATTCCAACTTTAGAGAGACAACCAAGAAAAGAATTAAACATGGTTCTGAATTATTAGAGTTTGAGATTATTAATTTCAACACCACTTGCCATGAAAACATACACCAACATTAGGAAAATAATTCACCTAATACCATCGTTATATTTATTGGCCAACTTATGTTCATTTACAGGCTCCTACACCTGTCCCAATAGCAAATATTCGTAAAAGAATGACGTGAGAATAAACGGTCATGCTATATGTATAACCATAGTTGACAATCACACAAATGAGAGAGGGGCCCCCGATAGTAAAAGAAAGATATGAGAATAAACGGCCATACTATATGTATAATCGGGGTTGATAACCACACATTTGGAGAGGGGCCCACAAATAAAAAAATCGGGGACCCCTCTCTTGTGAGAATGTTGTCAGGTTGTACAATTAGCAAATTTTGAGAATAAACTCCACCGTAGGAAATGAAATGCAGAACTAATCTCAGTTGATTGGTTTCAGAGGGATTTTTTTTTCTTCTATGTTTTACAAGTCAAAGTCTTAAAATATTCAAAATGACAATTTGCCTATAAAACCCTATATTTGTCCCCCATGGATTCCATCATTGAAATACACTCATTCTTGAAATAAAAGAAGAGGGAAAGAAACAAAAATGGGAAATCTTGGTGTATTTTTCAAGATTTTCTCATTGATCGTAGCCATGTCAAGTCTCCATGCCATGTCCCAATTGTCCAAACAAGAAAAAACATGGTTCCAGAAATATTACCTAGGTAAGAAAGAGGTAACCAAGCTGCATTTTTATGTTCAGGACAAACTGTCTGGTCCTAATAAAACTGTCTATGAAGTGTCTCGATCAAACATTACTTCGATTTCACCAACATCATTCGGTCAGGTACGAGTTTTAGATGACTTGTTGACGGCCGGTCCTGACCGAAATTCAACGGAACTGGGTAGAGCTCAAGGGCTCATTACTTTTGCTGACCTGAAACAATCGGCCTTGGCAATGAACTTGAATTTTGTATTCACATCCGGAAAATATAATGGTAGTACCCTTTGCATATTAGGGAGAAATCCGATATTGGAAAGGGATCGTGAGCTGCCGATTGTCGGAGGCACGGGTATTTTTCGAATGGCACGAGGATATTCCATTTCAAATACTTATTCGTATGATCCCATTGAAGATTACGGTGTTATAGAATACACTGTTTATGTTACTTATGTTAAGGGATGATGGTATGTATTTGTTGAAATTTCGAAAGTGTTCATGATTGTTGGCATGTAATAAATGTGTGAGTTAAAAGTATAGTCTCACAAAAGAGATGATTTTATGTATTTCTAAACAGTTATATGAATTATTAAAAAACATTGGTTTGTATGAATTTATGGATTGAATGTATAAAACTTATGAATCTACCTATTGATGCCCTATTTCCAATTTTTGACGTATGTAATTTGAAGTAATTTATGTATTCATGACAATTGATAATCCGTTTTATCTATCTTTTTTGAGGTAACTTAAATATATTTAAGCACGAACCGATTATATTTATATTTTGAATTCAGATGCAAAATAATACATTAATGCACATGATTACATAGAATATTGCACTGTTATACATGTTATTCTTAATATCTATGTTCACGTGTTAATTTTATAGCATTTTGAACTTATTGTGAATTTTTCAACACTAAAACAAGCAATAATTATCAAATTGATCATCAAGCAATCAAATAATGTATGATTCACGCAAGATTAATAAAAAAACGAGAATATTTTTGGGTTATTAGTGGAAAACGTCCCCATGTTTGAAGTTTAATATGCAAACGTCCCCATCTTGCATTTTTTTTTTTTTGGCACTCCCCTATTTGCATCTTTCATTGCAAAAAAAAATTATTATTTTCATCCATTTTCTCAATTAAAAGCTGTTAAATGACGAATGTACCATCTTATTTAAACAAAACAAAAAGAATAAATAAAGAATTTATTGCGATCATAATCTCAAATTTTTAAAAAATTACAAATAAGTCACAAATACATAACTAAAAATCAAAACAAAAAAAATAAAAAATAAAAATAAAAATCACTTCATGCCCTTGTTTGGTCCCCATTATTTTTAAAATATCTCTCTCTCTCTCTCATTTTTAACTCTACATTCTTTAATAAAATAATATTACATATAAATCTAAAAATATATGAAAATCACTATTCCAAAATAGGGACGAAAATTTTCATCCATTTTCTAAATCAAAATAACTATTCCAAAATAAATTTTTGTCATTTTATTGCTTTTAATTTAGAAAATGGATGAAAATGATGATTTTCGCAATGGTGTAAATAAAGATGAAAATGCAAAAAATAATAATAATAATAAAATGCAATATGGGGTACTTTATATAATGAACTTTAAACGAAGGAAAGTTTTGTGCTAATAACCCATTTTTTTAATAAACATAAAGAATGTTAAAAATACATCGCCTAAAAAATAAAGAAATACAAGAATATGTTTGGGAATCAATTTCTTGTTTTTGATCTTGAGTTATGTGCCTTGAATCTTCAACTTTCGATTTTAATTACCTTCAATTCTATTGCTAGATTTGTTCTTTACAATATAATATGTGGTGCCTCGTTTTCTGCCTCTCTCCTAGGTTAAATTGCAGCTAAAGATGCTTCCATATAAAGTTCCAATCAAAACAAGAAATTGTTGATTGCCCCCGAAAAAGCTACCATGTGATCGCATGACATGGTAAAGTTGGCCTCGACTTTTCTTAATTTAGGGGTGGAAACCCCTACACAGAACTGAGGCAATTGCCCTGTTCGTAAGAGAAGATCGAAAGCTCAAGAAAGCAAGTGCCACAGAATTAGTGCATCCTCATAAGGTGTGCGTCACACCCTTGATTTTTGTTTCTCGATCTTCTTTAGTCCTTTTTAAGTACAATTTTCATCCTTTGACTTCTAATCTCATCCAATTGACCCTTAGCATTCTTCAATCATCACCCCTTAGTCAGAATCAACTTTTGAATATTTATAATTTGGTCCCTGAACTTTAAAATTCTTCCTCTTTCGCTTAGATTTTGTTCATTTTCCTCTATTTCACCTAACAATAAATAATATAAAAATATTATCATTTAATAGTTTAGATAAGTGTACAAAATACAGTTATTAATATACATTGAGAGTGTGACAACCAATGTTTTTGTTTTTTAACTAGTGTATAAATATAACAATGAATGTTGAATTCATTTTCAAGTAAGGGTGTCAAATATGCTCAACGGCTCGGGCGGCCCGCGTTCGTGAATTTTAAAAAAAAACAAACGAAAAAAGAGGCAACAAATGCCTTGAAAGGCAGCCAATTGCTGCCTTTAGTTGCCTTTCAAGGCAGCGAAAACGGAAAAAAAAAAAAAAAAGGCCAAGGCAACCCAGAAAGCAAAAAAAAGAAAAAAAAAAAGAAAAAGAAAGAGTTGGCTTGGCTCGGAAAAGCTTGTGCCGAAAGCTCGGGTCGAGCCGAAATTTTTTGGCTGAGCAAAAGCTCGATTCGGCTTGGGCTCGTAAAAAACTGGACCATTTTAACTGGGCCGAGCTTGAGCCGAAAGTTTTAGGCTCGGGATCGGCTCGACTTGACTCGACTCGTTGACATCCCTATTTTCAAGTAACAATGGATTTGCTTAGAATTTGTTGAGTGAGATTTGACCCTTTTTTGGGAATCTTTAGCAATTAAAAGACATGTAAAGTTTGTAAAACAAAGTTGATAAAGAACGAAAATAAAACCTTCAACAAAAAAATTGCCAAAATGGAAGGTTTGAACACGATTATGAATTGCAGTCCTCAAATGGTGTTTGCTGCCAACGGGTAAGTACTTGAACGCTTTATGGCAAATATTTTGTAGGAGTAAACAAACCTTAATCCAAGTTTGAATTAAACAAACAAAATTTGGAAAAAAATCAAACTTGGAAAAGGGAATTGAAGAACAAAATTATAAAACTGGTTTAAACTTTGATTATAGATGTTGATAAATGAATTTGATGCTTGTGATATGTTTTCAATTATGAACATCACTCGTATATATAGAATTACAAATACCATGTACGAAAAGGTGCAAAAACCAAGCCAAAATGGTGTCGAACACTTCAAAACGACACTAAAATTCAAACAGCCAATGGTCAAATTACAAAATCTGGTGTCTGCCAGTTCAACAAAAAGGCCACCCAGGCAGTCGCTCAGGCCTTTTTTCGGTCTTTACCCTTTTTTGTTTTCATTTTGTTTTCGCTTGTCTTTTTCATGGTTAATCACTTCTAAAATCACTTCTCACTATCATTTAAACAATATTCCAAAAATCCCCTATTTGTTCAAATGTAAAATGAGTTCAAACTTAAGTTTGACACTTATGCATAGAGAATGGATATATTTCAATTTGAATCCAACTTTAGTATAAATCTCACCAAGTAATTATCAAAATTTTAGGTAGCATGAAAGCGTTGAACCTATTATTCATTGTGATGATATTGGTAAAATCACACACACATATCAAGTGTTTCAAGTTCCACACAATCTCATTTAACACTTTTATGGCCTTGCACTTCTCCTATTCATAAACTTTTAAGAGAAAAACTCCAACTTTTTATTAAAGCGGCACCATCTCAAAGTTTATACAGGTAAAGTGCTTGCAGTATTTTTGTCACTTTTAAAGATATTTGATCCCCTCGATTTGAACTTTATTAAGAGTTATAGAAACTTAACCCTTTTATTCTTGACAACAAGCACTTGTAACCTAGGATATGGTTCTAAAAGAAAAAATAAGTACTAAATCTATCTACTTATCGAATGACTTGTTGTTACTCTTTGAACTCGAAGTATGCTTATTAGTGTAGTCAAGAAAGGTTGCCATCATTTGTGGATTTCATTATGAAGTTTTAACCCCATCCTACTAGTTATTGTTCATACTAATTTCATTGTGAGCAATGTAGTGAACAGATTGGCCAAATTCTCATTTGACTTCAAAAAAGTAAGTGAAATTATTTCATCTTTGATTAATTTCCTCACATGGTCATGTCTTAAACTCATATGTCTAGACTTACCATTATACACTTCATTGTATGCTTTATCAAAAGTGGCTTGCTTATCACACAAGATAAATATGGAAGAATTATTCTTTTCTCCAATTGAATTTCATACATTAAATCCCTAAGCCATTTAACTTTTTTTTGGGTTTTAGCCAATGCCACAAATTCGAATTCCATAGTTGAGTGAGTAATACATATTTGTTTCTTGGATTTCCAAGAGATTGCACCTCTTCCAAGGGTAAACATCCAACCCGATGTTGATTTATTATCTTCAACACTAAGTATCCAGCTAGATTCGATAAATTCTTCTTGTATTGTCGAAAACTTAGAATATTGGAGACCTAGATCCTTGGTTATCTTCAAATAACCAAGAACCCTCTCGATAATCTTATAGTGTTCTTTACTTGGATTGCTAGTAAACCGACTAAGTTTACTAATTGCAAATGCTATGTCGGGTCTTATACATTGCACATCATACATTAGACTCCTTGTAACACTTGCATACTCAAGTTTTGCTATCATACATTAGACTCCCTATTAGCCTCTTTAATGTTTAAGTGTTTAAACTTTTTAATCACATTCTCAATATAATGTGATTGGCTTAGTGACTTTGATACCTAGTATGATATCCACTTGACGAAGATATTTCATTTTAAATGTGGAAGATAGAAACATCTTTGTTTCTTTTACACATTGCATTTGATTGCTCACAATCAATATGTCATCCATGTATAAACAAATGAATACTACATGATTATCACAGACTTTTGAGTATAAGAATTTATCAACACTATTATGTTTAAATTCAAAAGATATTATTGCTAAATCAAGCTTTTCGTGCCATATTTTTGGTGCTTTCTTTAATCTATATAAGGATTTTATTAGCCTACATACTTCATCTTCATTTCCGGGTAGAACAAATCTTTTTGTTTGTTCCATATAGACTTCCTTATCGAGATCTCCATTTAAGAACATTGTTTTAACATCCATTTGTTGTATATACAAATCATAGATTGAAGCTAAAGCGAATATAATCCTAATTGATGTTATTCGTGCAACTGGTGCATATGTACCAAAGTAATCTATTCCTTCTTTTTGTCCATATTATTTAACTACTAACCTAGATTCAAAAGTTAATAAGAGTACCACATGCATTGTACTTTTTTCTAAATA